ATCACTATCAGTGGTATTATCGTGATCTGACAATGGTCAAATTAACTGAAATTTTTTTGTTAAAAAAATATCAAAATGATATCATTTTGTAAAGCACAAGAATATAATATTTCTCCGCAAAAAAGAAAATGAAATCCAATGTAAATTGAATGAGCTATGCTACGGTGAATTTCTTAGGAGATTTGAAAAGTGGCTTAGCAACACACTTGGAAATCCGTTCCAGCCCAAAAATCTTATTAGCATCCAAAAAAGTCCGCCCAGCTCTCTCGTCAAACCCTTACTTTCCCTCCCTATCTCTCTACAAAGATGATCATTAGATCGTTTTTCTCTCAATCTCAGTCATCCATTATGGCTTTGTAGTACTACAAAATTATATGATTTTGCACGCTAACTCAAAGCATAAAATAAGTCATCAAAATGAAATATTTCTACTAGCTAAAGTTAATGTTACCACCTTACTAATAAATTTGCTATTAAAACTTAGAAGCACCACAGCCGAATTTTCCAATCTAATTGAATTTGATTAAATTTTTTTAATTTATATGGATTTTGATTAATTAAAACTTTTAGTTAATGATTGCCTTTCGGAAGTACCAAAAGGCCAAAATTAAACTAAGACTCGGAATAAATATGAGTCGTCAGCAAAGAGGTTTTGAATGAATATGAGGAACTGAGTGGTCAAAGAGTGAACCTGGCAAAATCAGCGGTGTGCTTCAGTCGCAATATCTCAGAACCAGACCAGGAATTCCTAGCTGCAATTTTGGGGGTAGGGGCTGTTGGGGTCCATGATAAATACCTTGGTCTCCCATCCCTGATAGCTCGGTCGAAAATGGAAACCTTCCGTTATTTAGAAGAGAAACTCCTGGAACGGCTCAAGGGATGGAAGCAGCGGACTTTATCCTGGGCGGCTAAAGAAACCTTGATAAAATCGGTGGCCATGGCTTTGCCCCTTCATGTGATGTCCTGTTTCAAGTTGCCTCTTGCGCTGTGCCGCCTGCTGGACAAGCATGTTGCCCGCTTCTGGTGGGGAGACTGCGAGAATCATACGAAAGTCCGGTGGATAGCCTGGAGGGATATGTGTCGGAGTAAACATGATGGGGGGATGGGTTTCCGTAGGTTTGAACACTTTAATCAAGCCCTTTTGGCTAAGATTGGGTGGCGTATTATCCAAGAACCCAACTCTTTGCTGGCCCAAGTGTATAAAGGAAAATACTTCCCTAATGGCCATTTCCTCAATGCGAAAGCTCGTTCTCGTCCCTCCTGGGGGTGGCAAAGTATCCTATACGGATGCCAACTGTTAGAGATGGGGCTTCGTTGGCAAATTGGGAATGGACATGCGGCATCCATGTTGTACTCAACTTGGGTTCCCCAGAATCAATTTGAGCCTCTTCGATATAACCCGCAAATCTTGCCAAGTGGTGGAGATCCCCTAGTTTCTGAGCTTATTTGCCACGGGGAAGGTCGCTGGTGTGAGCGAAAACTGAATCAATGGTTTGACCCTACTACCTGTCGGAATATTATGGCTATTCCTCTCCCTCGTGCGGATGTTGAGGATAGGCTCATCTGGCATGACACTGCAGATGGTGATTTTTCGGTGAAGTCGGCTTACCATCTGGCGGTTGCCTTGGACAGGCGAAGGGGAAGATGGCGAGCACGGGTAGACTGGATGGATCGACAAAGCTGGATTCGCCTTTGGGAGGCTAACATACCACCGAAATTGAAGGTGTTTGTCTGGCAGATCTTTCAGCGCATCCTTCCTACAACTGAGGCGTTGCTTGAAAGAAAGATCATGGTCCACCCTCGATGCCCGGTTTGTTGGGCCGAGAAAGAGACTTTGGAGCACCTGTTTTTGGATTGCCAGGTAGCCTGAGCACTTTGGGGTGCAGCGGGCCTAGAGCATATCGGGGAAGGGTTGCCGCGACACTCTTTCCCTTTGTTTCTCAAGAAGGTCATGGCTCTCATCAAGTGCCCGACGCTGTTCATGGCCATTGTGGCTGTCCTCTGGCGTATCTGGCGATCTCGCAATTGGGTGGTCTTTGAAGGGAAGCAGTATGGGGTGGAGGCCTTGATGCGACAGTTCATGTAGCAATATGAGGAGTGGATACGTCTTCCAGTGGATAAACCAATCACGGTGCCTGCGACAGTGGCGGCCCACAATTCGCGCCAGGACGTGACGACGGGGGTTATTTGTAGCTGGGATGGTGCCACTAGGAGGGGATCACATTCAGCTGGAGGGGTGGTGCTCATGACCCCTAGTCGTGATCTCCTGATGGCTACTGGTATGCAAATTCCCGTCATTGATGACCCTCTGGTAGTGGAATTGCTGGTCTTGCGTGAAGCGATTCTTTGGTGCATAGGGCATGGTTTCTATACGGTCCAATTTGAGGGGGACGCCAAGGTTGTCATTGATAAGCTCCAGCTGGTGGATAGTAGGGATGGCAGGTTTGGGGCGATTCTGCAGGAAGTGCTTCATTACTTGTCCGGCAATCAAGGATTTACTGTTCGGTTTGTAGGTCGGCGTGCCAATAGGGTAGCCCACTTGGTGGCTAGAAAGGCCCTCACTCTGTACCCGGCTATGAACCGTTATTTTGATTATCAGGCCTGGCTGATCTCCAGGATGTAACTATCTTTTGAATCTATTATATAATTATATAATTTATCTTTTGTAAAAAAAAAAAAAACTAAAGACTCGGAACCCGCACGGGACCGGTTATTGTAACAACACCCATTATGTTGTTATTGTAACAACACTAGTCCCCAACCAATAGGAAGCTAGGATTGTGATGACTTTTTATTAAATGAGTTGACCTAGTGTAAAAGCAAAGCAGGGGTATAATTGTCATTATGGAAAATATAAAAAAATATAAAAAATAAAAAAATAAAAAAATAAAAATATTTTTTTTATTTTCTGCCCAAAAATCTGGTCGTCGGAATTCTGCCACCGGTCACCGGAAAATGGTCACCGGTCGCCGGAATATGCTTTTTGGTCGCCGGAATATGCTTTTTGGTCGCCGGAATATGCTATTTTGTGGCCGGAATATGCTTACCGGAGTCGGAATATGCTTACCGGCGTCGGAATCTAGTCACCGGGGCCGGAATATGCCTATCGGCGTCGGAATCTGCTCACTGACGGTCACCGGAGTTCGGTCAACGGTCTTCGTTGGCCGGTCAACGGTCTTCGTTGACCGGTCAACGGTCAACAACCACCGGATGTTATGGTCTGCATTGTGAGATTTATGGTTTGGTTTCTCATATTTTTTTATGCCTTTTATGGTTTGTTTTATTGTGTTTGTGGTTTGCATTGAGAAGTTTCTGGTTTGTTTTCAAAAACTTTGTGGTTTGCATTGTGAGGTTTCTGGTTTGTTTTAATATATTTGTGGTTTGCATTAGGACGTTTATGGTTTGTTTTTTTGTGGTTTGATATACTATGTTTGTGGTTTGCATTAGGAGGTTTTTGGTGTGCTTTCGCAAATGTTGTGGTTTGCTTTGTGAGGTTTGTGGTTTGTTTTAGGAGATTTGTGGTATGCATTAGGAGGTTTTTGGTTTGCATTAAGAAGTTTCTGGTGTGCTTTCGAAACTTTTGTGGTTTGGTTTGCGAGGTTTCTGGTTTGTTTTAATATATTTGTGGTTTGCATTAGGACGTTTTTTGTTTGCTTTACCGTGTTTGTGGTTTGTATTAGGGGGTTTCTGTTGTGCTTTGCAAAATATTTATGGTTTGCTTTGTGGGTTTTTTTATATATTTTAGCGAATTTGTGGTTTGCATTAAGATGTTTTCGGTATGTTTTTTGTGGGTTGTTTTATTGCGTTTGTGGTTTGAACTAGGGGGTTTTTGGTGTTAGAAATATTTGTGATTTTGTTTCATCAAATATTTGTGATTTCGTATAGGCAAAGAAGTCACAAAATTATTTGCATAAACAGAAATTCCAATAGGCAAAAGCTAAAAAAAACATTATCAATGTTCACTCAACCCCATTTTCTGCCAAAATAAAGAACACCCAACTCCAATTAGCACAACATCATATCAATTTTCTACATAATCGCAATCTTGCCCCTAACCTCCAACCCAAAATACCATCACCGGAAGAAGAAAGTAAATTTCATAACTCTAGAATTAAATGCTTGTTGTGGACCAAACTACTGCCGGCAAACAAATCCCCAAAAAAGAAAGGGATTAACCTTCCAATTACAGGCCCCAATTTCAAATGTAAATTCTGGGCAAATTTAGACCTCTAACTACCAATTATATACATCAACAGATCCATTGAAGATCTCCCACAGCCACGACCCCTGCTCACGAACAGGCCAAAGGCAGGGCAACCAAAACAACGACAACTCACCTTCCAACACCACCACCGCCATCGTCGCCACTTCCTACGCTCTAGATTCGTCGAGTCGTGGAGAGGTCACCGTGGTTTCGTACACCCGCCGCTCCCTCGACAGCGGAAACTACCTCGTCGCCGCGGCTTCGGCACTCCAAAAACAAAGCTCCACTTAATGCACGACTCCGGTAGCGAGTTCTCGTGGGTGGATGACCGCCAGCCCGGCGAAATCGACAACCGTTTCGACCCTCGATCCTCTTCCACCTTCTCCAGGGACGTCCGTGCTTGGTCGTTTGGATTGGCATTGATCGACGGCGGCGGCAGCGGCGCTAGGAGAAAGAAGAAACGAAGGAAGAAGACAGTGAGATCTGAAGGATTGGGGATCGGAAGAGAAAGACAGAGAAACACGCTTTTTTCCCTTCTTTATTCTATCTTTTATTTTTTTTTTCTTGTAATTTTACCCTTATACCCTTGTTGTTACAGTAACAACAAAAGGGGTGTTGTTATTCTATCCGAGCCCAACCCGCACCCTTATGCCTGTTTTCTTTTTCTCCATTGTTTGTTTTTTTTTTTTTTAAGAAATTTTTCTGCTTTGTCCTTTTTAAGCAGCGGCCAAAACGAACCTAAACCCACTGGAGAAAAATTCGTACAGTCATTGACCTTCGGCCCATATTTTATTCTCTCAAATCTCAATCCTAGGCTGTGCGAGCGAGAGAAACACAGATAAAGCCAAATACGTTTCCTCTCTCCTCCTGCCACTCACTACTAGAGAGAGAAAGAGCAACGAACACCAAAATGTCCTGCCATCTTCTTCCTCGCCGCCCCCGCTCCCGGCCTTATCTCCATCCATCTCTTCATGTTAACTAGAATTTAATATATTCTTCTTCGCTTCCCCTGCGTATGGTTCTTAGGCTTCCCCCGGAGAGCCCTCCGCTTTCTTATCCAGCCACCGCCAGTGATCCCCCTTCCCCTGCCGCACTCACTCTGTATCCAGTTTCAGGTGAGTTGTCTCGTCAATCAATTGCAAGTTCAGATTTTAATTTCGCTTCAGTTTAATTTAGAGTATCTGGTCGTCGAACTCTGAATTGGGTCTTAGCTATTTCATCCAAATGGAATATTGATCGTTGAGATAGGTGCTTTGATTGAGTTCATAATTTGTAACCATGGTGGGTGAACTTATTTGTTCTATCATTGTATTAGAGGTTCCGGCGCAATCTCGATTTTGTTGTCAGGGTTATTCTTCTCGTAACTTTACCTAGTCTCTGCGGATTATAAAAAAAAAAAAAAAAACTAACTCTAGTGGAATCTTTCCCTTATGCGGGCAGTAATGGAAGAAGTTTTTTTCTACGGTGCAGGAACTTCTGATGTGGAAGTGGAACCCGCGGTAATGTCTTCATCGTTCCCAATTCTAAATACTTCAATCGGAGACATGTACAACAAATTGCCGGAAACATTCCTGGTTCCTTCCGAGAGGGAGATGATGAGAAACCCTATATCTCAACAGACACCTTCAATGGGTTATAGTAGTGGTACAGTCGAGCATTTGTTCTCGTCGTCTTCCAGATTCGCGAACGAGATGCATGTTTCTTCACCCCAGGGAAAGCATTCTTGGAATTCGCCATTTGGTTCTCAATCACCAAGTGGCAGAACAAGTTTTCTGCCATTGCTTTCTTCTCATACACAAGTACGTTCCTCAACGTTGGGCAGTAGTGACTCTGAAAAGACTGATTGTAATATGACGATTGCTTGTTGGTCCATGGATCCGATTCCGAACTTTCTCGATTTCCAAGAGAATGTGTCAATTCAAAATGTTTGTCATGAGGAGACTGCATGTGCTGTTGCGTCTGAAGATCCTTCCAAGAGAACAACAGATTGGCCGTGGGAAAGTCAGTGGACAGCGGTTGATGATAATCTCAACACGGACTGGAATCAAATTCTTCGTGGAGTTACTGCCACTGAGACCAAACAACAGGTTTTTACTCTCATCCTGTTCTAATTTTGCTTTCCAAACTTTTAAAAATATTAGCTTTCACTTAGATCATGCATGACATTGGGTAGGGATTTATGGAATTGATTCAAATGGTGGTCTTAGTGTCAAATGACTGTAGCACAACATTGGTCAATTGTGAGGCATGCTCGTTTCAGGATTTCATGCATTATAATTTATCTTGAGCAAAATAAAAGAAAGTGATGCGGACTGAATTGACTATGTGAAGAACTTTAATCTCTGTTTGAGGATTGGTTGATTAGGCACACATAAACCAGGTCTCTCTTGGTCTCTTGCTCTCTAAGCTATATTATTGTATCAGGCGCCACAACAGTCATCTAGTAACTCGGTGCCAACTGTCTCAGTAGAGCAACCTCGATTTAATCAGCAGCTTCAACAACCGTTTACTAACTGGGTGCCAACTATCTCAGTAGAGCAATTTCAGTTTGATCAGCAGCTTCAGCTGTCATCTACGAACTGGGTGCCAACTATCTCAGTAGAGCAACCTCAGTTTAATGAGGAGGTTCAACAATCATCTAGTAAATGGGTGCCAACTATCTCAGTAGAGCAACCTCAATTTAATCAGCAGCTACAACAATCATCTAGTAACACGGTGCCAACTATCTCAGTAGAGCAAACTCAAGTAAATCAGCAGCTTCAACAATCATGTAACATGGTGCCAACTATCTCAGTAGAGCGACCTCAAGTAAATCAGCAGCAACCTGCCGTTACTGGAGAAGTAAGATCTGTTGCCACACCACTGACCTCTGCACCAATAGCAAGCAAAACCAGGATGAGATGGACACCTGAGCTTCATGAGGCTTTCGTGGAAGCAGTCAATCAGCTTGGTGGCAGCGAACGTATGTATTCATTTGTGAGGGGCATTTTTTCATATTGTTTGAATGTTAGATTCTGAATAAGCTGGTTGACTTCAACTTTTTTTACTTACAGGAGCTACTCCAAAGGGTGTCTTGAAGCGGATGAATGTTGAAGGGTTGAATATTTTTCATGTCAAAAGCCACTTGCAGGTTCATTCATGTCTTTCTCAACATTACCAGTTTTTTCCTTTTGGGGCATGGCTATAAGCTGTTCATTTTTCTCACATGGACGTGAATTATTTTAAATTTTCAGAAGTACAGAACAGCCAGATACAAACCAGAGCCAACTACTGAAGGTAAGGTTTAACTGTCACATTTATCGTAATTTGCACTCCTCAGCTATTGTCCCCCACCCGGAGATTTGTTTGTTTACTCTTTATTTGATCTTCGCTTTCTGCTGTGTTCTGATTGGAGCATTGATGAAATGTCCAGTTTAACAAATGTTGTGATCCTATTTTTCCTTTCCGACTCCTCAGAGAAAAGGTTGAGTTCCCTTGGCGTAACAAAATCAATGGACTGGAAAACGTAAGTTCATCTGAATCCCACAACTGTCTTAAGTAATCTTGTATTGCTTTTTTGTGCAAGTTAATTCACCTTTTTTGTGGTTAAAAAACAGGACCATTGGGATAACTGAAGCTTTAAGACAACAAATGGAAGTTCAGAAGCAATTACATGAACAACTCGAGGTAATCCTGCTCCACTGAACTTATAGCTTGTATATCATCAAATGTAGAACCATGTTGACTTCGGGGGACTGAAGGTAGTGTTGATATATCATCGTGACTCTTTTCTGCTTGTGCTGATCTTGTCTCTCAATACCACCAGACTCAGCGTAAGTTGCAGTTGAGAATCGAAGAACAGGGAAAGAATCTGCAGATGATGTTGGAGAGACAAAAGATGGAAGAGGAGAAAGCCAAGCTTCCTTCATCTTCCTCCCCACTAGTCAATGATCAACTGTTGAATGCACTTCAGGTTTCTGCAGACGATAAATTACAAGCAGCAGATGGTGAAGAAAGCTTCCATAACCTGAGCACAAAGCGAAAATCACCTGGGGATGGAAATACAAAGGACACCCTTGACCAAAATGAAGACAAAGAGTCCAGTCCAGTGCAGGCGAAAAGGAAAAGGACGGACGAAACATCTGCAGCGGCGGCTTTAGAGTAGTCTAATTTCTTGGGTAAGATGATTAGGGGACAGTGATTCGGATTCGGATTTGGGGAAGTTTTGGGAACTTCTGGTTTTTTGTTAGAGAAGTGAATGTTTATGTTTTAGCTGTTACTTAACGGTCCCATTTGCTGTTTTGCGTCGGAAATTGGTCTAGTTTATTCATATGCTGCATTACTGGCTGTACATATTCTACTAGCGTGGGCCCCGGCCATTTGGCCGGACGAAGATGAGGTATGAAATTTGATAATGTTGTTGTATAGTTTTTTTTTTTTTGGGAAACACGTGATAAAAATAGTGAATTTTAGTAGAAAAGAGACATAAATGATGCAACGAATAAAAAATCAGCCTTATGAACCAAAATCAAGTACATGTTACCTTGTGAAACAATATTGTTTCTCGTAATATGATGAGGTGGAGTAAGTTTTATAGAAACCGAATTCCACAAAATCGAATAAAAAATCGCATATCCCGCCGATTTTCGGGAAATGAGCATCTCACAATCGTTGCTAGCTTTTACTCGGCCCGTTGGCCGATTAATTTGCTTTATAAAACTTTCATCTTCTCATCATTGTGCTTTTTGGTTTTTTGCCAAGCCATGATAAAATCTAAAGAAATCAAGAATGAACAGCACGATTTGGGATAGGAACCACCGTTCCTGTATTCCTAGAAAATGGTGGTAAACACGGACTCACCTGCCAAACTGGTTTGGATTGAGATTTTTATAGGGTATCAGAGAACCATGTGATTATAAATTAGACTTGATCAAAATGGGCCAAAACTTGAAATTCAGCTTGTTTGACCGACCCATGCCAAACTCTAATTATTCTTTACTTTTAAACTTTATATTTGAAAATACAAAATAATGAAAGAAAAGAGATGACTGCAATTCACCATTTGCACATCACTGATTCGGGAATAAAACTATAGAATTTCGAAAGGAAACTGAAAATGTTTAGGATCGTTTTAATGTTAAAAATAACCAAATAGATCTTTCTGTTTAGTTTTTTACTAACAAATACCAAACGATTCCCTATAATATACACTATAATTTAATCATTATGATATCAAATAATTACATAATATATATTTGAAATGATAAAAATTGGACTAATTGAGTTGGTCGAAGTTGAACCATTGAATAACTTTAAAATACATTATATTTTAGCCACTAAGATATAAAATAATAGCATAGTATATATTATGCTAGAGAAAATATCTTGTTTTAGAATGGCAAACCCATGATGTTCATTTGTTTTACTTGATGGGCAAATCCCATGTAGGTCAGACCCGTTCAACTCTTTTATTTTATGATTAGCGGTTAGCCCATTAGAATCCATGCATTAGTTTATTGTTAATTTTTTTCTTTTTAGCAATAAAAAGGAGTATTGTTTTTGCCTTTTCATATATATATTTTACCACCATGGAGAAATAAAAGGACTTAAAGAAAAAAATTGACACTCCTGGACCCGTTTAAATCCGCATGTGTACGGTAAGTTGGCCAGTTCCACAGAGGAAAAAGAAAAAAATTGACACTCCATATTCTACTCTTCCTACAAACGCTCCTGGAGCATGGAACTTTAAATGGGGGAAGAGTTTTTTCCTCTCTGCAATTATATGTTTTTAATTTAAAAAGATACAACAAATGTACTTAGTGTGATTGGTTATGATCTTTGTTTTTCTTTAAAATGGTCATGGTTCGAATCCTGGTAAGTGTCTTTTTAATGAATAAAAAAAAGTAATTGTGAAGACCAAAATGTCCTTCCTACTTTCACTCTGGATGCAGGAAATTTAAAATGGGGCTTCAAGTTTTCTCATTTGGCTTTTATTTATTGTGTAGATTTATGGAAAAAATGCCGGCCAGAACTGACGTTCATTTGCATATACCGATCTAGCCAACCCGTACGAAGAGTGATGGCAATGGGGCGGGATGGGGCGGAGCGGGATGGGGTGGGTACTTTAATATCCATGTCACGCTCTTATGCTATTATGGGTTGGGGTGGATAATATCCGAGCGGAGCGGATACTGGGAGGGGTGGGTTGACCCATTTTGACAAATTATTGATAAGAATATACGTAAAATTTTACTTTTTACGATAAACGAAGTGGAAAACACTTTATGAATGAAGATTAGTGATGATATAATGGATAATTGAATGTAATTAGTTGAAAGATCAAATCTAACTAGTTGAACAAAATTCAAAACATGAGAAATTTGAATAGATACTGTAAGAAATTGAGATAGAATGAATCAAGAATGGGGCGGAACGGGGTGATGCATGGTGGGTCAGAAGTAGAAACTTATGTCCTACCCCATGCTACTACGGTCGGGTAACACACGACGGGACGGGTTCAAATTGACGTCCCTAAAAGGCTTGCACTCCATTGATGAGCTTGTTGTTAGTTAACAACCTGGTCCAACATAGCTCCGTTGCATGCAATTGCAAATATGACAAACTAGCGTGGCCTCGGCCATTTGGCTGGAGGAAGGTGAGGTATAAAATTTGATAATGTAATGGGGTATATAACTTATTGTTGTATAGTTTTTTTGGGAAATACGTGATAAAAATAGTGAATTTTAGTAGGAAAGAGACATGAATGATGTAACGAATAAAAAATCAGTCTTATGAACTAGAAAATCGAATAAAAAATCACATATCCCGCCGGTTTTCGGGAAATGAGCATCTCACAATCGTTGCTAGCTTTTACTCGTCCCGTTGGCCGATTAATTTGCTTCATAAAACTTTCATCTTGTCATCATTGTGCTTTCTGGTTTTTTGCCAAGCCATGATAAAATCTAAAGAAATCAAGAATGAACAACACGATTTGGGATAGGAACAACCGTTCCTGTATCCATAGAAAATGGTGGTAAACACGGACTCACTTGTCAAACTGGTTTGGATTGAGATTTTTATCGGGTATCAGGGAACCATGTGTTTATAAATTAGACTTGATCAAAACGGGCCAAAACTTGAAATTCAGCCTATTTGACCGACCCATGCCAAACTCTAATTATTCTTTACTTTTAAACTTTCTATTTAAAAATAAAAAATAATGAAAGAAAATAGATGACTGCAATTCGCCATTTGCACACCACTGATTCGGGGAATAAAACTATAGAATTTCGAAAGAAAACTGAAAATGTGTAGGATCGTTTTAATGTTAAAAAATAACCAAATAGATCTTACTGTTTAGTTTTTTACTAACAAATACCAAACGATTCCCTATAATATACACTATAATTTAATCATTATGATATCAAATAATTACATAATATATATTTGAACTGATAAAAATTGGACTAATTGGGTTGGTCGAGGTTGAACCATTGAATAACTTTAAAATACATTATATTTTAGCCACTAAGATATAAAATAATAGCATAATATATATTAGGCTAGAGAAAATAGCTTGTTTTAGAATGACAAACTCATGATGTTCATTTGGGTTACTTGATGGGCAAATCCCGTGTAGGTCAAACTCATTCAACTCTTTTATTTTATGATTAGCGGTTAACCCATTAGAATCCATGCATTATTTTATTGTTAAATTTTTTTCTTTTTAGCAATAAAAAGGAGTATTGTTTTTGCCTTTTCATATATATTTTACCACCACGGAGAAATAAAAGGACTTAAAGAAAAAAATTGACACTCCTGGACCCGTTTAAATCCGCATGTGTACGGTTAGTTGGCCCAATCCACAGAGGAAAAAGAAAAAAATTGACACTCCCTATTCTACCCTTCCTACAAGAAGCAGGGAATTTGAAATGGGGGAAGGGTTTTTTCCTCTCTACGATTATATGTTTTTAATTTAAAAAGATATAACAAATGTACTTAATGTGATTGGTTATGATCTTTGCTTTTCTTTAAAGTTGTCATGGTTCAAATCCTAGTAAGTGTCTTTTTAATGAATAAATAAAAGTAATTGTGAAGACCAAAATGTCCTACTTATTTTCACTCTAGATGCAGAAAATTTGAAATGAGACTTCAAGTTTTCTTATTTGGCTTTTATTTATTGTGTAGATTTGAGTTTACCCTTGTGCATCAACACTTACACAAACCCCATTTTTGCTCATACAACACCGGTGATTTCTTCCTTTCCCGAGGGAGGGAAAAGCACGGCCAAAGTCAACCAAAGTATGGTGTAGTTCCGGCATTGGAATTTAGATCATAGGCGCATTCTTGACACCTTAATTACATTTAATTTTCCTTCAACAATTGTTTTCCTTGTGAGGGTTGTAAGTCCTGCAGCATAAAACAAGAACGGGTAAGGTGATAGGTTTTCATCTTGCCTTAATCTACACATGTTTGGCCATTCATCGCGGAAGAGTAGGCTAGTGATTGCATCACCGTGGTAGAGGATAACGGTGAATGAGCGGTGAAGGCCTGACCTGCGTCAAAATTTTAAACGAATGTAATTTTGCGCTCGGTTATCCAATCGTAGCGAATTTTTTTTATTTTGCATAAATTTTTGAGATCTTGCAAGCCGCAAACAACCATAGGTGGTTTGGTCCCGCTTAAGTCCTGAAAAAACTTCGTTTGCTACCCCGAACGAGCAATTTATCTATTTCGTCAAACTTTGAACAACCATAACTTTGTGCTCCGCAATCCGAACGTCATGAATTATTTTTATTTTTATTTTGCATAACTTTTTAAGAACTACACCTTTTATCATAGCCATAATGACTACACCTTCTAAACATATTATTACTAGAATGACTAATCAAATTTTTTCAAAAAAATAGATAAATAGTAAAAATAATAAATGAAATATCACGAAGAATAATAAATATACCAGATATTATAATAAATATTTAAAATTAATATTAGAATATCTATTTAAATACCCTAATTCAGTTAAAAACACCATTAAAAATAGTTAAAATAGAACCTAATCGATCATCAATATATCAAAATAAAAAAAGGATAAATGGAACACAATTAACAAGAATTAAACATATTCCACTTATTGAAAAAAATTTAGAAAGAAAAGAGATGGAAAGTGACCAAGTAATAAATAAAATATAAAAGCTACAACATTCGGTAAATAATATAGAAAAGAAAATATGACTATAAAAGTTACAACATTGTTTAGTACAGCATTCATGGAATTAGTCAATTATTAGAACGCATAATGATAATTGAAAATAATTATAATGATAATTGATTCTAAATTTTCAAAAATTGGTTTCGTATCAAGAATTCAAAAAAGGATCTTAACTAAATAATAGATAATGATGTTTTTCATAAGTCGAAATGAATTTTTTACAATAAGAAAAGTAGAAGGACCAATTCTGAAATTTAAAAAACAGAATATTTCAAGAATATTCTGTCAACTTTAACGGAATGCACTTAGCTGTAAACTTAAGTGGTACCTGGTGCACATATAATAGAGTTCAGTGGTACCCGACGCCCTATTCAAACTTAAGTGGTATGTCTATCCCAATTCTTAAATTTAAGTGGCACCTGATGTATTTTACCCAAGATAAGTGTGTCATAGGTCGATTCATTGCTAAAAGCGGTAGACTGGTTGCCTCAAGTGGTAGACTGCTTGGTGGAAGTGGTAAACCATTTTTTTGGAAAGTGGTCAACCACTTGGTAGTAGATGTCGACCACTTGAATGTAATTGTTTTATCAGGTTAACCCATTTCCAGAAACGGTGGACTGGTTGACTAAAGTGGTAGGCCACTTGGTGGAAAAGGTCGACCATTTTCTCGGAAATTGGTCCACCACTGTGTGGAAAAGGTCGACCACTTGAAAGTAAGTGTGTCATCAGGTTGACCCATTTCCGGAAGTGGTAGACCGCATGACTCAAGTGGTAGACCATTTGGTGGAAGTGGTCGACCATTTTCTTAGAAAGTGGTCAACCAGTTAATGAAAGAGGTCAACCGTTTTCTCCAAGTTACGGCGACTTGCAAGTCACCATAGGCATACCCTAAACTTTAATACATAGATTTTGACTATATTTGTAAGTGAAAAGCGCAATTTTATATAGAAGAATTTTGATAACTTGAAAGCGTGAAAACATAATTTTTAAGGTTTAAAACGCGATTTTAATTTTGATTGGTTACACCGAAGGTGATTCCACCCGATTGTACACAAGTGATCGACATCTTTGGGCCAAGTGTTTCCATGATAAGAATATGTACAAGAATGCCATATCAAACTAAACCAACTTTCAAACGAAGCAGCAGTCCTACATTTATACAATTTATACACTACCATCAGTCTTAACTAAGCCACAGTATGCCCATCAAACCAGCCCAGATCAGAGATAATAGAAGAATCATAAATCGGGTAATTCGATTAGCAATTATCATCATGGTATAGCAGCTAAAACATTCACTTCTGAAACAAACGTTAAAGAAGCAAGAATCTGAAGTTGCCAAAACTTCAAGGATTCGCATCAGCCTCCCTAATACATATTGAGACTATACTAATGCTGATGATGATGTTTGGTCCGTCCTTTTTCGTTTCCCCTGCACCGGACTGGACTCACTGTCACCAGTTTGGTCGTCATGCAGACTTTTATTGCTCGTCTCTTTTTCTGGAATCTTTGGTCTATCAACATCGGCAGCTTCTAATTTATCGCCTGAAGAAGCCTGAACTGCAATTGATGCTGGATCATTGGCTGGGGTAGAAGAAGAAGGAAGCTTGGCTTTGTCCTCTCCCATCTTTTGCTTCTCAAACATCATCTGCAGATACCTCCCTTGTTCTTCAATTCTTAACTGTAAGTTTCGCTGAATCTGGCGTAGTTAAAAAGAACCATCAGCACAGACAGAAAAAGGAATCATAATGACGTTTTGACTATTTTTTCCACTAGCCAATGTGGTCCTAATGATGTTGGCATACAAGCTATAAGCACCATGAAGCATAATTACCTCGAGCTGCTCATGTAATCGCTTCTGAACTTCCATCTGTAGTCTTAACGCTTCAGTTATCCCTATGCTCCTGTTTTTCCCAGCACAATCAAGGTGAATTCGCTATTGTGAAAGAGTGCATCAAGATTACTTTAGACGGCTCAGGGATCCGATAAACTTACGTTTTCAAGTCAAGGGATTTCATCTCGTCAATGGAACTCAACTTTTTTTCTGAGTCATCTGAAAGGAAAAAAGTGAATATCAAATTTCAATACTTGTTCAACTGGAAAGTTCACCAGGAGAAAATAAGTATCAAGCGAAGATTAAACATACAAATCTCTGGGTGAGGGACAATAGCTGATGCATGCAAACTACAATAAATGTGACAATTTAGAGTACCTTCACTAGTTGGCTCTGGTTTGTATCTGGCTGTCCTGTACTTCTGAAAATTTATAATATTCTCGTCAGTGACTGGATAATGAATTTATAGTGCTTAAAAAGATTTTAAATAAAAAAAAAACGGATAATGTTAAGCAAGCCATGAAATCACCTGCAAGTGGCTTTTCACGTGATAAATCGTCAACCCTTCAACATTCATTAGCTTCAAGACACCCTTTGGAGTAGCTCCTGTTAGTAAAAACAGCATAAGTCAAACAGCTTACTCAGTATCTAACATTCAAATATATAAAATATCCTTTCAGGATTGAAGACACACGTTCACTGCCACCAAGCTGATTGACTGCTTCCACAAAAGCCTCATGAAGCTCTGGTGTCCATCTCATCCTGGCTTTGGTTGCAACTGGTGCAGAGGAAAGCGGGGTAGCAACAGAGATTACTTCACTAACCGCAGCTTGCTGGTGCTTAACTTGAGGTTGTTCAACTGAGTTAGTTGGCACCGAGTTACTAGAAGATTGTTGCGGCGCCTGATACAATAGCTCAGCTTTAAGAGAGAAAGTCCTGGTTTATGTTTGTCCCACGATCAACTTCAAACAAGTCCACTTCAATTTTTTTCACTTCCCAAAGAAAAATTAGAATGCATGAAATCCAGAAATGAGCTCTCTTCACAGTTGACATTACAAATGTTATTCTGCAGTCAGTTAACACTAAGACCACCGTTTGAATCAATTCAATAAATCCCCATGCCCAAATATGATGAATGGTCTACGTGAAAGGTAGCATTTTTATGTTTGGAAAACAAATCAGATCAGGATGAGAGTAAAAACCTTTTGTTTAGTCTCGGTGGCAGCAACTCCAGAAAGAATTTCATTCCAGTCCGTATTGAGATTATCATCAACCGATATCCACTGATCTGCCCACTGCCAATCCGTTGTTCTCTTGGTAGGATCTTCAGACGCAACAACACATGTAGTCTCCTCCTGACAAACATTTTGAATGGAGACATTCTCCGGGAAATCGAGAAAGTCCGAAATCGAGTCCATGGGCCAACAAGCAATTGTCTTATTAGTATTACTCTCTTCAGAGTGACTACTGCCCAACGATGAGGATTGTACTTCAGTATGGGAGGACAGCAACGAAGGCGAACTTGCTCTGCCGCTTGCTGATTGGGAAATAAATGGCGAATTCCGGGAATGCTTTCCCAGGGGCGAAGAAACTGAAGTGACAAACATCTCGCCGGTGACGAATCTGGAAGATGAAGAGGAGAAAAACTGCTCAACTGTCCCACTACCAGAACCCATTGGAAACGTCTGTTGAGGTAGAGAGTTTCTCATTAGCTCCCTCTCGGAAGGCATCTGGAAAGCGTTTGGCGATTTGGGGTACTTGTCTTCGATGGAAGTATGAAGAATTGGGAACGATGACGACATAACCACAAGGTTCCACACCAGAAGTCACTGCAGCAAAATCGGCTTAGTGCATGTTAAAGTTAACGACATGACCAAACAATTGACAGGCAGCAAAATCCAGATTGCTTTGGACCCTAATAGAACATAGAGATAGAAAACAGTTTCAAATTTTCAAGCTAATCCGATCAAATCAGGAGTTTAACTCCACCAACCCTCCTACCACCATGGTTACAAAATGATGAGCCCCAATCATCTATTTTCCAATTGGATGAATTTAACAGGTGAGACCCAATTCAGAATCGATCAAATCCTCGACAATAAGACACGCAGATGACATACTGGGCACACATAAAAATCTGAACTTGAGATTGATAACAAGACATCTCACCTCAAATTCAGTGCTAAAGGGAAACAGACAAAAAGCTTCTGATCTCTGGATGCAGAGTACGGCGGAGGCGGAGGAGGAGCGGTGGTGGTGCGGTGGGGCTCTTTTGGTGGGGGCTAAAAGCCGCACGTAGGAGAAGAATATTAATTCGACACGGAGAGATGAGGTTGAGATACGGCGGGGAGCAGAGGAAGAAGGGAGGAAGGAGTTTTTTTTTTTTTTTTGGTTTGTTAATGTTTCTCTCTCTAGAAGTAAGTGGGGAGGAGGAGGAGAGAGGATGCGTATTTGGCTTCATGTGTCTTTCTCTCTCACGCCCAAGGAATTGCTACCGTGCACCTTCTCGCATAACGTGTCAGGTTTGTCTAACCGTCGATTTCGATCTTTGTTACCGATTTGGATGGCTGAGATTGAAGTGTGGAGTTGGGGGAATAAAATATTGGGCAAAGGGCAATAATAAGGGAGCGGGTCCCGACCCAAGTGTTAGTAGTAGTGGTAGTGGACGGTTTCTTTTGGTATGCTTCGTTTCGTTTGGCTGCCCGACTCCAATCCACTTGTTGTTGGGTTTGGGGTGCTCTTGTCCTATTTTGTTCTATTTTAAGCTCTTACCTAAATTATTGGGGAGATTGTACATTATGGCCAATGAATCCTGGGATGGACTAATTATTCGAAGAGGAATTTATTTTTTATTAAAAGTATTTTATTTAATTTCTGTTCAAGTTTGGTCATCCATTATTTCTTTCGTTAGTCTCAATTAACGACATCAATTTTTTTTTTTGACATGGTTAACAGAAGTATCTAAACAGTCAATTTTAATATAAAAAAGTAAAATTCGACCCGCCACATCATTGAAACTGGCAACAAAATACCCCAACTCGATCCTTCCTCTTTTTCATTTATTTGACCTGACTAGAAAAAAAAACTTACCTCACAATCAAAACCCTCATGCCTTCCACAACAGTCTGCTCGAAATCCCCACAATCTACAAGAATTTTTGGGCCCCGAGAAGGACTGATTTGGGATGGTTTATCCTATGTGGTGGGTTTTAATGACGTGACATGTCGGTTTTTAATATTTTTTGGGTTAAAATTGGCTTATTGGGCATTTTGTTAGCCACATCAGCAAAAAAATGTCGTTAACAAAGAGTGACGGAAGCTAACGCCAGGTGATCAAATTTGGACTGTTGAACTAATTTCAGTTACCACAAATTGTATAAAATATTTTTAGTGACAAACGTGAAATAATTTAGTAATTTCAGTGACCAAATTTGTCATTTCTCTAAATTATTTCTTTATTTGTTATCAATTGTGCCATTTACCTATTATTTCGGGTCTCCTGACTCTCAGCTCTCCCAATGCCGGTTTTCACTCTGGCCTACAATCGCGATCCTCTATTGGTATCTGTCTCTAGAACTTCATTACTTGCCTCCTTTCTTCGCAGTGGTCGTACCGGAAGGAATCTGGTACCGAGTTCATACTGTAAGGAAGTAGTTAATATCTATACATGAACCTCTGTCAACACCTTAAGGGATAGAAACCTGCCGAGTGGGAGGGCAGACTTGTCGGTTTAGAGGAGGGATCTGCCCTAGTCATTATTTGTATGCTCTTATTTAAACATGGGAGATGCTATTTCTCATATTAAGCAAAAAATATATCTGAAATTCATAATCTCGTGTCTCTCTGTCCTCTCTATTCTTCCCCAAATTCCACTCCAATTCTTAATCCTTAACCCTAATATATTTCCCAAATTTTCTCAAATCTTCCCCAACTATCAAGGTTTCAATTAATGGTATCAGAGTCTGGTTGTGAGAGTGAGTTCATCAAGACTCTCAATCAAGGACTATGTGCGAAGGATGCGGGCAGATTTCATTAGAGCCCAAAGTGACTTGGACCAAGGAGTGGAAGGACTGCCACAAGTAGTGCATGCAGTCGGGCAGCCATGCAGCTATGCACTGACGCGACAAAAAGAGGAAATGGCTAGTGGGCCATTGCGGTTGCAGGCAAAGAGCGACCCGCGTTGAGAAAGAGATAGTGGTTGTTTCAGTCGACAACATGCTTGGGGTTGCTCCACTAAGAACGATGTGATTCCGAGCAACAATGGAATAGTTTTCTAGTCAATAGTGGCGACAATATAACTACGGGTTTATATGTGTTGTTGTTACAATACTAGGGTTTGATGCGATTTTAGGAATTCTCTAGTTAAGAATTCTAGGACCAAGCACTAGTGATTGGGGAAAGAATGATTATGAGGTTTAAATGGAGGGATAAGGAATGGGAATTGAAGGGATTGACCACAACTTCGTGTCCGGTAAGTTGGGACGAGCTGAAGTTGGCCGAGGGAGCTATAGTCACGGTGCTTTACTAACCAATTGAGGCAACCACATGTCGGGAGCTTGATCCGAGCTTGCAAGATCTAATGAACCAATATGTCGACTTGTTTAAGAAACCTGAGAATCTACCTCTAGCCCAGCAAGTGGATCACTGCATCATATTGAAGGAAGCAACTAACACGGCTGATGTGAGGCGGTATCGATATGTCCATTCATTGAAGATGGAGATCGAGCAACAGGTCGATGAGACATTGGAGACATGACTGATTGGATCGAGTTCTAGCCTCTTCTCTTCACCAATGTTGTTGGTTAATAAAAAAGATGCAACTTGGGATTTCGAAGCAGACTATTGGGCACTGAACGAAGGTATAACCAAGGACAGATTTTCGATCTCAACAGTAGAGGATATGTTAGACGATCTGTTGGGTGCTCAAGTCTTGTCCAAGCTTGAATCGAGGGTCGGATACCATCAGATATGCATGCACGAGGACGACATTCTTAAGACAGCCTTCCACACTCACAATGGGCACTATGAGTACTTCATTATTCCTTTTGAGTTGTGCAATGCCCCTTCGCATCTCCAGACCGCTATGAATGACATTTTCTTGCCTATACTTTGCAAGTTTGTATTGGTGTTCTTCGATGACATACTAGTTTATAGTTCAATGTGGGAGGAGAATCCGCATCAGTTATAGCAGGTCATCGCGATTTTAAGAGTGAACCAATTTTATGTGAAGGCGTTGAAGTGTGCGTTAGGGGTGGTGGAGGTAGACTATCTAAGATACATTATATCCTACCAGGGAGTGAAGGCTGATCTGGTGAAGATCCAAGCTATGTTGAATTGGACTATGGCTCTACACTAAAAACAATGACTGAGTTACATGGGTTCTCGAGTTTGACTAGGTAGTTCAGGAAATTTGTGCAGAACTACAACTTCATTGCTCGATCCCTAATTGAGTTATTGAACAAGGGTGGGTTTGGAAGGAACCCAAGGGTGAATGAGGCATTCCTGACAGTGAAGGCTTCCATGACCACCACTCTGACTTTAGCATAGCTGAACTTCACCCATCCCTTTGATATCGAGGTCGACGCTTACGGGATGGTTATCGAGGCGGTGTTATCTCAGTAAGGGCACCCTATAGCCTTTATGAGTAGGACATTGACTCCATCGAAAGTGGTGTGGTCTACCAATCATAAGGAGATGCTTGCCATTATCATTGTCGTCCATACCTGGAGATCATACTTATTGGGGAAGAAATTTTGAGTATATATAAATCACCAAAGTCTCAGACACCTTCTCAACTAGAAGATTTTTACTCCATATCAGCACAAGTGCTTGGTAAAGCTGTTGGGTTATGGCTATGAGTTGGAGTACAAGTCAAGCCCGACTAACAAGCCCGCAAATGCCTTATCTTGGAGCAACGCAGGGGAGATCTTAACCACAATATCAGGAACAGTTGTATAATTATGGAACCAATGTAGTCAAAAGCATGCTTTAAAACTTAAGGGTTTAAACATTTACACTTCTAAGTCACCAAAAACTATATGCGTAGAATTGAGCTTTTCACTTACAATACGCTTTAAAGCTTACATTTTTACGCTTCTAGTTCACCAAAAGGCTTCTATAAAGAATTACGATTTTGACAGCATTGTATGCCACGAGGTGCGGCGAGCTATGAAGACCAATTTTAACCTGCAAGAATGCAAAGATAGGGCTATAAGTGAATTGTCGGGAGAGTTTACACTTGACATGTGTTGGTGTTTTACCGGGGATATATTATGTTTCCTGCAGGATCTTATTACGACCATGATGCGAGATTACCATGATTCGCTAGTGGGGGGCCCTCCGAACATGAGAGGACTTTGAGGAAGATTGGGGGATAGTTCTACTAACCCGAAATGAAGTATTAAGTGAAGTCATATGTAGCCTCCTGTGACACTGATCAACGTGTCAAGACATCCTTGCTGTGAAGAGCAGGTGTCCTCCAGCCTGTTCTTGAGCGGGTACGAGAGGATATCAGTACAGATTTCATAGTGGGGATGCCAACTTCGTGAGGCAAAATGGTGTTGTTGGTGGTGGTGTAAAAACTCACCAAATTTGCACACTTCCTTACTCTATCGCATCCCTACACAGTCAAGATGGTGGCAGAACAGTTTGATTGGGGTGTCATCAGACACCATTGGTTTCCCAACTTTATTGCCCACGATTTTAATGCATTATTCTTAGGGTGGTTCTTTAGGAGGTGTTTAGTTATACTAATACAGAACTTAGGATGAGTTCTACTTATCATCTGTAGACATATGGGCAGACAAAAATGATCAACCGACAACTAGAGTAGTACTTGTGGTGTTTCACAAATAAGTTGTCGCGCAGCTGGCTGGTGATGTTACCGTGGGAAGAATTGTGGTACAACACCAAGTATCATAAGTGGATTAAGAGGAGTCCATTCGATGCGATTTGTGGGTGCTTCCCTCTAAATTTTTTTAGGTACTAGCCGAGCTACAGTATGGTTGATGTCATGGATCGATGGTTGGCTAATCGGGATGCAACTATGGAGAAGCTGAAGACCAAATTGACTACGACAAACAATCGGATGAAAAAGTTGGCAGATTCGGGTAGACAGGAGAGGAGTCTGTAGTCAGAGAATGGGTGTTTCTTCTATTGTATCCCTACCGACATTCGGTGAGCAATATCTACAATCCAGTAGCCAAGCTTCCAACAACTGATGAGCAATATCTATAATCCTTCTCCGTACACTACAACACCATCTCTACTTCCCCACCAATATGTGACTCCGGTTGCATATCAAATTTGTAACAGGTGTAGAATTAACCAAGGAGATGGATAAGAAAGTGGTACACAAGGAGAGGTCAATATTGAGGGAGATGAGGGATTTTAGATATTCTTGTATTTTCTAGAATTTTTTATGTTTATTTCCTGTAGTTGCCCATTTTCTCTATTTAAAAATACCAATTTGCTACAATATTTGTCTAATGTTACTCCAAACTCTAAGTGCTTGTCTAGGAAGATCATAACATAGTCATAAAATTATTCCTGATAAAATAGCAACATTCTGGTGAATCAAACACATATTCCCAATGAAACAACAACACATCGGTGGAAAAAAAACATAATTATCATTTTTTTCTTTTGCTCATCCTGGGAAATGATGCATTTGATGTCCTTTAACTCGACATGCAGAACACCGCTTCAGATGTTGAGATCTTTCTGATCTATCCATCTCATTTTGAATCTTGTTTACTCTAGGTCGGCCTTTGGTATGCTTTCTGTGCTCAGGAGGAAAGAGTACTAGCCCATCATATTCGAGCCAATAAGCTTTATGAGATAAAGACACGATCGCCCCTTTCCAAACTTTAATGACACTTTGATTCCTGTAGTATCGACTACCAAATGACAGCAGGTCGATGTGAATGCTTATGGTAGTGACATAAACATGAGAGGAAGGAAAATATCTCCCTTGGAACTTCCTGCAAGTGCATTCCCCTTTTCCATTCATTGCATCAATTATAACCATTTGAGCATTGCCTCCTTTTGTGGTATCGGCTGACCTTCTTATTTTTACTTCGAAGAGGCCATCTCTCCGACTGAATAAAGTCACCTTACACAAGTTAGACCTGTACCCCCATGAAAGCATGGCTTATTGGCTTTTGTTAGCTTTTGTGAGATGTAGTATCCAACATTTAACATTTTAAAGGATGACAAATTGTATATTGCATGGGCAATGCCTTGGTGAAGATCAGAAAGGATGACAATGTTCGTCCGAGTGATAAGAGTGTATAGTTGGAGGAAAAACCATGACCAATTGGAGTTCTTCTCTGATTCAACTACAAAAAACGTAAGTGAGAATAATTGTTTATTGCTATCAACACTCATGGAAATGAGTAGAGTGTCATTGTATTTTTCCTGTCGGAAAGGTGCCATCCACTTGGATTACTAGCGGACAGTGGTTGAAATCATCAATTTATGGTTGAATGACCAAGATAGTCGTTCAAACACTAGTGTACCCCATGCATAATCCTAGTATTGGGACAAAAAAACAAATCTAGTATTTTTGTCAACAAATGCCAAAATCAACCAGAGTGCAAATTATCTTAACCAATCACCATAAACCTCTGTCATTGTTTTCTATTTTCATGCCATGCTTGCTTGTACCTTACGGTGTAGCCATGGAGATTTTTACTTCCACAATGATGGCATTTACATCAATCTTAGGTTGTGCTTCAACAAAATGTTTGAACACTTGTGCAACTTTCTTTGCATTCAACTGTATTTGGTCAAGAGAGAGGATAGTCGAACTGCATGTGTGAATGTTATCTTCCTTATGGATAACCAAGCCCCACGCCCCTTAACATATGCATCTCGAAACCCTAAAGTAGCATCAATCTTCCTTATTAAAAAAACATATCCAACCCAAACCTATTACATGCAGCCGTTTCCATAGTTCTTGCATCGAACATGAATGTGTTTAGTGTTCAAAATGACACCATATTAGAAGCTGTTTTGCATTGCATATTCTTTCAACACATCCACAACATGTGGCTTTCCTCAAAATGTTTGCCCAACCACGAACTGTGTATTAGGATACTAAATGGGTACAAGAGGGCAGATCGTCGTTGTCAACATAAAATGGACGTTGTGGCACCATTGTGTAAGAAGGTGTGGGTGCTTAGGCTAGTTTTCACCTGGTAATCCCCCCTCATCGGTATCTTCTCGTTTTCATCATTTTCATTATTCATAGACGCCAAATCTTACATGTCACTTGTCTCACTTGTGTAGGGAGGACTTGGGTTGTCCATACAGGGATCATCATTCATGATTGATTCTTGTGTGGATGCTCTTATGTTGGTCAATGTTTACACCATAGTACTGGACATTCTTGTCCATCAGATTCAATCGAAGTACCAGGTGCAATACTAGCCTCATATCTTGACCATGGTACACCACCTAAAACTCATATCAATGAACCAATATAACATACCTGAAATATAACAACATATATAACTAAATCTAAACATAACAACCAAGCATTAATCCAAAACTCTAATTCACATTCAACCTACATTCAATGCCTAATGTAACCCATGTCACAATCAACATAACAAATCATGGATCGCCTTCCTATTATGGGAACCATGGTGTTTCTCACTTGACTACCCAGTGAACAGCCCCAAGCCCCAAATATTTTGCAAAGTGATGTAGCGTAGGAATTTTGTTTTGTAACCCTAGTATAATAGCATTTATTTCTCGATACAAGGTATAACTTTAAGGGCCAAGGCATAACTCTAAGAGCTAAGTTACAAGATAAAATACAAGGTAACCAATCAAAATCTAACAGTTGAACTAAAGATTTGTAGAGTTGTGTACAACTAATAATCACAACGATGTTGTTTTCCCAATGCTTGTAATCGGTCTAATCGGGTTGGTTTATGTCCAGTCTAGTGTCTTCTTCAGCAGCAAATTTCTTTTCCTCTCATTTCTACAACTCCCTGTGGTTGCTTTGCTTCATCACAGACTCGATCCTTGAGCAGGTTATTTGACAAGCTGCACCTTTAAGAGCTGTCCAGTTCTCGTCTCCAACATTCATCATTCATTGGAGACCACTGTCACCGTGATCATCCTCCTAATTTGGTACAATATTTACATGGTAAGGTAAAAATTATTTACAAATGAGATTTCATTAATGTGGGGGGACACTTGCAATTTGCTTAAGCGGTAGTCTTTTCTAAATTAGGTGCACAATTGACAGTTGCCATTTCTCTTCTCCATCATTGGTGCCATCGTAATAATGGTCATCCTCTAATTTGGTACAATATTATTGTGACAAGGTAAAAAGTATTTACAAATGAGATTTCATTAATGTGTGTGTGTGATGGGGGGAGGGGGACATTTGCAATTTGCAAAATCGCTAGTCTTCTCTGAATTAGGTGCACCTTTGAGAGCTGTCTGCCTCTCTCTCCATCATTGGCGACCACCGTAACCATGATCATCCTCCTAATTTGATTCAATATTGTCGCGGCAAGGTCAAAAGTATTTGCAAATTAGATTTCATTTACTATTGCTATTCGTCGCCCTAAAAATCTTTATTCGTCGCCCTAATTATGTTAAAATTACTTTAATGGCCTTACTCTATTTTTTGGTCTTTCGAATACTTAAACCCTAAAATAAACACATGCACTCGTCACGACCAATAGCGATTCAGTTTATAATCTCCTTAATTGTTGTCTTGATTTACGTTGAGTAAGTGTAATCTCTTTTAATCCTTTTTAATCATCATCTGTCTGTCCAAATTTTTCTCTGTAACATCAATGATGATCATCCTTAACCACATTGGATCTAAAGTACCCTCAACTCATCCAAAAGAAAACACAAGCATAAATCTGATTTACATGGAAGCTATCGGAACAGAGACCAAAACAATAAGGGCCACTCAATTGTAGGCCATACACATGATAGCGATAATTCATTCCTTCCTAATCCTTTATTCTGCTGCGCTACGTCATCGTCTTCCTTTTGCGGCGGATTCAGTAGCCGCCTTCCTTCTTCTTCACCACCCTTCCTCCAGGTCGACATCAACGACGAATAGCAGCGGCGGGGAGCGATGCTGGCGGCAATAGTTATATGGTCGGCGGCGGAGTGCAGTTCTTGGGTGGACGACAGCCTTTTGGCCAAGATTTTGAGAGTCAATTTATTTTAGTTTTGAAGTTAGGGGTATATGTGTTAATTTAGTGTCGTTTAGGGCGATTTATTTTGAATTTTAGGGCGGCGAATAGCAATTCAGCATTACTATGGGGGGAGGCACTTGCAATTTGCCAAAGCAATAGTCTTCTCTCGTTTAGGCTCTCTTCTCCATCATTGACGACCACCGTAACATTCCTCTTAATTTGGTACAATATTGTCGCGACAAGTTAAAAAGTATTTGCAAATGAGATTTCATTACTATGGGGGAGGCACTTGCAATTTGCAAAAGCAATAATCTTCTCTCAATTAGGTGAACATTTGGGAGTTGCGTGGTTCTCTTATCCATCATTGGCAACCACCGTAACCATGAAGATCCTCCTAATTTTGGTACAATATTGTCGTGGCAAGGTAAAAAGCATTTACATATGAGCTTTCGTTACTGTGGGGGGACACTTGTAATTTGCAAAAGCAGTAGTCTGCTCTCACTTAGGGCTGTAAGAAAATGTAAAAGCAAGAAAGAAATAAAAAAATTGGAATATTAGAGTTGTAAGAAAATATAAAAGCAAGAAAAGTAAGAAAATATAAAAGCAAGAAAAAATTAAAAAGATTAAAATTATGGAGATGCAGGGGATCGAACCCTGTACCTCCCGCATGCAAAGCGGGCGCTCTACCATTTGAGCTACATCCCCATTTATTAATAAATTGTAATGTAACAAAAGTTTCTTGTACAAGAAAATATTTCTACACTACCTTGCAACCTTCCAAAGGATAACTTCCAACGTTTAAACAAAGTTCAAATCTTATTATACACCCTATTTCAGTTTCGGTTGACGTTACCACCTTCGATCACTGAATAAAATAAAAATTCCCTGCCAGTTCTACCATGTCGTACCTACTCTACTACCAAAGACAGCAAAGACAGTAAACATTTATGATCGTTGATGATAATTTAATGAGCCTAGAGTTCAATTGTATTGGTACCTTCATCGTAATTATACATAGTAGGACGCATAATGAAAAGGAAAACAAGGAATATGTATTTTGGTAGTCAAAGCTTAAGCATAGAATAGATAAGCACCCATTACGTCTAAGATCAAATACAAACTCATAATGCATTCTTTCCATCTCTAAACTGAGCTTGTTCATCTTTTTTTCCTTGCCAAAAGTGAGTCTGTGCCTGTACAGTACCTACAGTTTGTGGAAATGTTCATCGTTAATTCATTACATATCATATGCTTCTGCAGATCTTCTGCCAACCAAAGCTTGTACCTGAAGAAACCTCCAAAATGTTCAAAGGCCCTTTTTTACTCTTTCTTCCTGACCCATTTACACTTATTGAAAGATAAAAATGACCAAAAACTCCCATTTAGGTTTCTTCTCTTTCCTTGAATCATTCATCAATCGTCAAGTACCACAACCAACTTCCTGCATAGGTTGGAGTCTGTTAACTTCACATAAATGACGTCTTCTAAAGATAAATGGCATTGGCAAGTAACAGTCACCAATAAAAATTCCAACTCCTTCCGAAACAAATCTCAAAGTGATTGTGCTAAGAACAACAGTGACATGACATATGACTAACCTTTTCAGCTTCTTGTTGTCTCGACAAAATCTGCTTCCACAACGACACTTGAATGCCTTTACTGGATGATCATCATCCGCAAAGTCAATTCCATAATCCTGCAAAAAGTTATATGGCACCCATAAAATAATGCACATGAACATAAGATTCAAACTTCAACCTTTTCCAACTCCAGTTATTGGGATGAGTAGTTCTTGACAAATGTCTGCTTTTTCAGCATAATCTTATAACTTTTCCTTGTGCATAGAAACAGGCACCTTAGAAGCACTAAAATAATGTTTCTTACCCAAGTCAATTCCTCTTGAGCCTTCACGTCTCTTACTGTGAAAAGAGCAAGCTGCAGTAACAATCAGAAACGCAAGTCTTTTTAAGATTGGGCTTCTGACCCTCCAAAACTATCGGGACACAAAATAGATTTAGAAAAGATCCACAAATGCGTTACATACATGGTAATAATGTCGGTCAGGGGTCTCCACTTGAACAGGAATGTCAGTTAAGTTTGCATCATAGCATCTGTATTACAAGAAAGCAGAAAACAGAGAACAACTAAGGTGTGGTAGTTTTGGCTAAACATGAAACCCATTTTAAAATAGGTTGGATCGAACGGTAAAACAAACACCCTTTTATCTTGTAACATGTTTAAATGACTCAAGAAAATAGCAGCACTACCTGTGGTTAATGAACCTTGCTACGTTGCCATAGTAGGTAGCATCCAAGCAAAGTGCTTCCTCGTCCTTAAGAGTTTTCTCGGAACCCCAGTCAGCATCAAGAGTAACAGGGTAAGTGTGCCTTCCCTTGCCACCACCAGTCATATTCCGCTCATATAACTCGGTGTTCGTCAATATCTCCCCAGCATATTCACAGACAAAGGTTCCCTTAGGCAAGTCCTGGAGAGCTCTGACCCCCCAACCTTTGCCTGCATGTGTCATAAAGACCTGTAACATTCATAGCACACAAGTTACAGTTAAATGCACAGCTTCAAGATACAGACAGCTATGGAATCGACTTGCATGAAAAACTGGATACCAGCTTTAAGCTGTCATAGAAATCATCCGACTTCAATAAAGCGATAATTTGTTCAACTTGCAGAACTTGGTTGCAGGTGCATGGCAGGCAAGGGTGAGCCTAGAAGGCAAACAGCAGCCTCTTTAGAGACGACAACATGCCAGCAGCTATATATAGGCCATCAATATGATCATACAGTGTTTCTCCAGAAAAGTAACATAGTACCTATTCTGCAACCTTCATTCCTTTAATTGACACATCCTGATGCCTAAAGAATAGTATACTTCTAGACATTCTACTTCCATGCATATAAATCTAGTTCAGATGTTATAATATGAAGGCAACTTGACGAAATGCCATCCACATATTCATGAAAGACGAAATGCCCACATTCATGAAATTAGGCTTAATCCATAGAATTGCAACCTTTAATAGTTAACAGTTTTCAGAAACACTCAATGGAGAAGCAAGCAGCTGAAGAAAGAGCTCTGCCTAGACTTTTTGGAGGAGAAACTGACCTGCAAATTGCAATTGATGCCCCGTTGCACAGCTCGATTCCCACAGCCCTCAGCACATCCACATTTGACCCAACACTCTTTAATAAACTTTCTGATCAAGTGACCGTTGCATTTTGCAGGAAAATGCTCATTCTTGGCTCTCTCAAGTGGACAGTCTTGGCAAAAGAACAAATGATGCTGTTGAGGGTTGGCTTTCATGGACAGACAATCTTCAAGAAACTTGTCATTCAGCCGGCCCTCTACCGTGTAAGCAAAGCTTCCACCAGTTTCACAAGCACATGCACAAGGTAGTTGTTGTGCAACACAATCATCCAAGCAACTTGAACAGCAATCAGCATCAGATATTCTAGCTAGAGAGATTTGTAAGCATGCACTTTGATATACTATGCTCTTACGAATGTAAACGAAATTGGGAAGCTCCTCGCCCCCATACTCGTCCACTAATGAAATGTTGATCCTTTCAACTCCTTTTGTTATGTCACTCATGAAGTGTTGATATATCCTTTGAAGACCATCATTGTCATTTTCATCTACCAAACAATCCATTGAACATTTTTCTACTAGTTAGTATTGAGAACCAGTTCATCCCAATAACTCAAATTGTTTAAAAAGCCAATTCTCATGCATCCCCACCAAAATGGAATTCAACTCATAGGGGCTTGAACATTTTACAAGCCCACCATACCTTGTGTGCATAGACTCAATTGTGCATATTGGACAAGGATGAGGATCTAAACATGAGAGTTCTCAATCAAAAGATACCGATCTTATGTCGTAAACTTGTACAACCCAATAACTCAAGTTGTTGGGAAATGACCTAAAAGCATATGTTCTATATCATTCCCTTGCTGTTAAAAACGGTTGCTTCTAAGGTGGCTGTTGAAAGTGGAAGCATCAATGGGAATGGAAACTATGAAGAAGCAGACATCATAGTTGCATAAGTATCGTAGGAAGGAACTGAAAATAAAATGGGGTAGAGAGAGTTGTTACCAGTAACCGTCTGGACCATCACAGTAGGTGTGGCAGAAGACCCGCCTTGCACTTGTGAAGACTCTCTGGTTCCAGAGGCGATATCGTTCATCGGTGTGTAAGGATCTTGTGCATAACCAAGGCTTTCACTGAAAACCTCAACATCACAGGAAGCTTGGTCTTCGCACAGCTCAATCGCTTCCATCCGGGGACGCTTTCCAAGCAGAAAATCGTCCTTGTCACCTTTTTTCTCGTCTTCAGCTAACTGGGTAAGTAGCAAATAAGAAAACATAAACAAAACACGAACATATTGAACTATGAGGCTAAGCTTGGATGCTGGCGAGAAGAAACCTTGTTATTATTATTATATTATAACAAACAAGCAAAAATGAAAAAACCCATGGCTACCTTAGCTTCCTGAAGCTCCCAAAATGTTTGCACAAGCACTTGGTAATTGTCAGCTTCGATATAATCCCAGTTTTTTTCAGATGCCTTGAACAACTGTAACAGCACTGGTTTCACTTCGTCAGCAGATAAACCGATCGCAGTCATGGCTTTCAATGCCTTTTTGGCTCGTTCTTTTGAGGAACTCATTAGTAACAATGGAGCAAGCACAACACAACACAACACAAGAAGGCAACTTTCTGCCTACTCCGTTTCTCCTGTATGACAACAATGTGACCGACTCCATCAGCCGACTGCATTTTCCATCCACGTTTAACACTCAAACGCCGGAATCAATTATAGGTAGTAAAAAGAAATTAGCTTTACCCTTAACTTTAACCTGAACCTTATGAAACTGGTGCCGTTTTCCTACTGTGTTTATCGCTTAATGAGTTCTGACTTAACCGTTAACCTTAAGTAGGTCCATCCCAATAACGATTTCAATAAAAGCAAAATAAATTTGACTTCTTCCAGAAAATTATAAAAAAAAAGGGGGGAAAGAGATGCTAACAGTGACCGCCAGTGGAAAACCCTAAAAGCCCATCCATTCATTAAAATATTACCAAGTTCGATCAATGTAAGAGTTGAGAGGGGAAAATGAGAAGAAACATAGCTACCCAGCTTCAACCTGTTCTTCTCAGCGAACAAACATGCTACCCAAGCCGTCACTCTGAAATGAGGAAGGGGAAGGAAAGTGGTGCAGCTGCAGGAGGAAGAGATTGGGGAAGAATGAGAGGGAGAAATGAGAAGTGTCATACATTTCTCTTATATAGATAGAATGATAATGGGCTAACTCGTTGGATTATCTGGCCCAATTCAATATCTATTAAGATACAAAATTGGGCCATTTTATCTATTTCATAAATGGATTGGATCACATTTTATGAGACTCATTAGTTGGATCTGCTCAGCAAAAATGAAACCAACTAGAACCATAATACAATTTAATAGTCAAACTTTTTTTTTCCACAATCATAATGAAATCTTCCGAAACACCAACAATAGCTCATTGTTGAAAGTTCGTCTAGCCTTTCGATAGATGATGTTGAGATGACGATTACTTTGAAAAGTTGGAAAAAAATGTTGTGACATAGAACAAATTAATCTATATCACATCAATCTTTAATTATCAATTTTTTAAAAATTAAAAATAAAAAAATTACTCCTCGTCAACATATACGACTTATCGTCCTATCTCTTGTTGTCTCCCCCATTGAGCGAACTTCTCCACCTCCGAAGCAATTAGAGATGAACATTCATTGAAGAGCATAGCTTGTGATTTGAGATCCACAATTCTCATCTCCACCATCCAACACATCTTAGTATTATGACTCCAAGCTAGAAGCTGAATATCTTTCTCCAATGTTGCAGATTGCAAGAGGATGAACGATTAGCTTATGACAGTTTGTGTATAAGATTATAACTAAAATAATGTCTGAAAGGTTAGCCAACTATTTACCCTCGATAGTTTTGGAAGGGCAAAATGCATTTATCCGGGAACGACACATTGTGGAGAATGTCCTTCTCGGGCATGAGTTAATGCACTATTTAGAAATCAAAACGCAAGGCAAAAAAGGGCACATGGCTCTGAAAGTTGACATGGAAAAGGCGCATGATAGAGTCGAATGGCTGTTTCTACTTGCGATTTTGGAAAAATTAGGGTTTAACTCGACTTGGCGTGGCCGGATCCAAGAATGTCTCCACTCAGCCTCTTTTTCGGTGCTTATGAATGGCACGCCCTCGGGATTCTTCGCTCCGTCTCGTGGTCTTTGGTAGGGGGACCCTCTGTCTCCGCTCCTATTTTTGCTTTGCACAGAGGGCTTTGCGGCGCTCCTCCGACAAGCTATCGCTGCCGGAAAGTTAGAGGGGGTCAAGGTTGCACACTTGCACCTAGGGCACCTCGGATTTCATATCTGTTTTTCGCAAATGATTCCTATTTGTTCCTCATAAGTTCTTTACAAGAGTGTAAGAACTTGATAGAGGTTCAAAATGAGTACGAGGAGCTCAGTGGTCAAAAGGTGAACCTCACGAAATCGGCATTCTACTTCAGTAAAAATGTTTCCCTGCCTGATCAGGATTTTCTTGCCGAAATTTTAGTGGTTAGGGCGGTGGGTGTCCAGGACAGGTATCTGGGGTTACCCATGCTGATTGCGCAATCAAAAATGGCTACGTTCCGTTTCTTGGAGGAGAAATTGTTGAGTCGGCTTCAAGGTTGGAAGTAGAGAATTCTCTCGTGGGCAGCTAAAGAGACCTTGATCAAATCAGTCGCTTTAGCTCTCCCATTGCATGTCATGTCCTGCTTTAAACTTCCCCTCTCCCTGTATAGTGTCTTGGATAGTCACGTATACATATTCTGCTAGGGTGTGGAAGGGGGCTGCTCCCAGATAAGGTGGATGTCCAGGTGTAACATGTGTACCAGTAAGCACGACGGTGGCATGGGTTTTCGTCGGTTTGAGCATTTTAATAAGGCTCTATTAGCTAAGATTGGGTGACAATCATGTCGGAGCCTGAGACGCTACTGGCGAAGGTCTATAAAGGAAAATATCTCCCTTCATAGACTTTCCTCACAACTACCGCCAGGTCAAGGCCATCTTGGGGGTGGTAGAGTATTCTCTATGACCGCCAGCTGCTAGTCCAAGGCCTCCGATGGCAAATTGGTAATGGTCAGTCTGCGTCCCTTCTATCTTCAAGTTGGGTTCCGCTTCTCCACCCGGTTGGTCCTGTTTATAATCCCCAGGTCCTCCCGGAGGGGGCCGATCCTAAGGTCGCCGCTGTAATTTGTCAAGGGGAAGGTAAGTGGTGTGATCGGAGTCTTAGCCAATGGTTTCCCCTAGACGTCTGTCAGGCCATGAAAGATATTCCTCTCCCTCGTCATGAGGTGGAGGATAAACTAATTTGGCACGATACAAGTGATGGGATTTCATGGTTAAGTCGGCATATCACCTTGCGGTCTTGTTAGATAAGCAGGGTGGCCGGTGGAGGTCTGTGGCTAGTTGGATGGATAGACCGAGCTAGATCCGCTTGTGGAATGTCAATCTACTACCAAAACTTAAAGTGTTTTTTTGGCAAATCTTCCACCGCCTCCTCCCAACAACAGAAGCTTTGATTGTAAAGAAAATTCAGGTGCTTTCGAGATGTCCGATGTGTTGGGCTGAGCTGGAAACAATGGAGCATTTGTTTTTTGATTGACCAGTCGCTAGGGCTCTTTAGAAGCATGCTGGCCTTGAAGATCTTGGCCAAGGGTTGCCACGTCACACCTTTCCGCTTTTCCTTAAAAAGTTGATGTCTTTGTTACTTCAACCTCAAGTGGTTATGGCAGTGGTGGCAATCCTGTGGCGTATATGACGATCTCGTAATTGGGTTGTCTTTGAGGGTAAACAATATGAGATACAAGCCTTAATAAGAGAGCTTAATCAGCAATAGCAAGAGTGGACCAGTTTGTCGATTGTCCGGAGTCTGCACTTACTTATCCCTCAGTCCGGGGCGGGGGACGCCAATAACCAGTGCTCCATCACCTGTATGTAGGATGGGACAACTAAAAATGGGTCTCACTCGGCCGATGGAATAGTTATCTTTGGCCCAAAGGGAAGGATCCTTCTAGCTCGAGGGGTGCAGTTTTCCAGATAATGATGATCTGATGGCGGCTGAGTTGCTTACTCTTCAGGAGGGTGTGCGTTGGTGTCTGGAGTTGGGGTTTATGGAGACAAGCTTCCAAGGTGACGTTAATGTGATCATTGATGAAATCAACCGGCGGGACTCCAGGGAAAATCGGTTAGGGGTCATCCTTGAGGAAGTCATCTGAATAGTTTCGAATCATTCAACTCTTAATGTTCGTTTTGTAATAAGGTAGCCCATTTGGTGGCTAGAAATGCCCTCTCTTTGTACTGGACTACATGTCGATCCTTTGATTTTCTTGCATGGCTGAATTCCAGGATGTAATGATCTTTTGATCTAATCAATATATATGATTATCTTTTGTTAAGAAATAGGATGAACGACTTTATTATGCTATTGAGCCTGAATGAGAATTAACACACAACATCAAAATTAAAACAAGTCGCGAATCAGGATAAAACATGATAGATAAAATTTGATAATACTTACATGAGGATGGGGTGGGACTCTATGTCATTCGACCACATTACATAACACCAAACTGCATTTGTGATCAAATCGAATTGCATTCCAAAGCTTGCGGCCTGTTTATAAAGAGATCTATGAGATTTTCCCCCCAATATACCAACCAAAAGTTAAAAAATTCTAATAATATCACTCTTTTCCAAAAATTCCATCCATACCACAGTTTCACAAGGACCGCATCATAATGGTTTATAAAAGGACAGCAGGGGGTGCTGTGGTTTTCATTTTTGTGAAATAACCGCAAGGGTAACAACGGATCTATGGCTAACATAGCCAGAACCGCAGGCCCCCAGAGCGGTTTGCATTTCAAATGCGGAAACCGCCGCACCCCCCCCCCCACACACACACACCACGATCCACTGCCTATAAGTGTTTTTTCCCTCGATGAATGTCTATAAGTTATTTTCATTTGGCGTTTAAGTTAGACATTCTTGAGCAAACCAACAAAGTCAATGAAAGCGATGTAGGCCTAACCTAGGTTGGAACTTAAAATGAATGTAATTATGTTCTCGGTTACCCGATCGTAGCAAATTTTTTTATTTCCGCATAGTTTTTCCATATCACACAAGCCGCAAACCTTCATCCCAAAAAAAGCTGTTCGCTACCCCGGCTGAGCATTTTTTTGATTTCTCCAAACTTTGGATGACCATAACTTTGTGCTCCGCAATCCGAACAGCACAAACCTTTTTTTATTTCGTATAACTTTTTAAGGAATACAACTTTTATCATAGTCATAATTTCATAATGTATGTGAATTTTTGTAAAGTAAAGCCAAGATTATTCCCAAAACCCCTTATATCCAAAAAGATTTCTTGTTTTGAAAATTCATTCCTAGTAACACTCCTTAAAAATTTATGCGAAATAAAAAAGTTATGGTCATCCAAAGTTCGGCGAAATAAAAAAAATTGCTCAGTCGGGGTAGCAAACAACATTTTTTTCGGGATGAAGGCATGACCAAACCGCATCGATTGTTGGCGCCTTGCGAGACTCAAAAACTAACGCAGAATTAAAAAAAATTCGCTACGATCGGATAAACGAGCACAGAGTTCCGTTCGTTTGAAGTTTCAGCCTAGGTTAGGACTACATCATTTTCATTAGGAAAAAAAACTTATAGGCAGCGGACCGTGGAGGGATGCGACGGTTTCCGCATTTGAAATGCAAACCGCGCGTGGGAGCCACGGTTTGGCCGAGATTGTTGAAGTGGCACACGGTCAACCTCACCGCAGCGACCCCATGGGTTCTGTAGGCGGCAGAAACGGAAACTGCATCACCCTTGTGTTCCTCGTTTTAACCGCCATGGAGGATGTGATCCTTGTGAAACTGTGATATGGATGGAAATTTTTGGGAAACTTGTTTCCCGGCAATAAAATCTAGATGGAACAGAATTGAATGCACCTTCAAATTCCAAACAAACGATTGAACAAACACAGTTCACACCTCTTTGAACAAAGTTCAAATAAGGGTGTTCAATGTTTTTGATAAGCACGAGACAGATCTACATTAACTTAGCCTACTCATATGGAGGTTCTGTGGGAGCTCTAGAACTACGACTATGGCTAAAATTGTAGAGGAAAAGATAAAAAG